GTCCACAGTTGGGAAGGTGGTCCTAATTTCCAAGCTTTTAATGAAGGAATCTTAACATAGCAATTTTGTTTTAGTCTAGAATCCACAGATCTGATCCAGCTGCCATTTCACGAGCATCTCAGTGTCTCCCACACCTTTAGCTGCTTGGTTGGCTGTGAGCCCTAAGCCCTAAGGTGGGGACAGGCAATGCGTGACCCTCCAGAAGCTTCAGGACTGTGGCTACCATCAACCTAAGTCCCCAGCGCTGAGAGATGATGGGAGTTGGGGTCCATTATCATCCAAAGAATTGTCCAGGGCCTTGTCCTGTTCATTATGGTTTTCCACTTCATTCTGGCCTACCAGTTGAATGGCACTAACCCCAACACAACCACTGAACTGCTGTGGGAAAGTGATGTTACCTTTGCACACAAGGAAGGGAAAGGAAGTCTGCATATGGTAAAATCACCCAATTTGTACAAGCAGAAGAACAACATTAAAGAATGCGGCAGCTTTTAACAAATCTGCAAGATGAGAGACTCAGTCTGGAACTGATTTTAAAAGGGTGTCAGGAATAGGGAACTGTTGAATACAAACCAGTGTTCATTCTAGGTTTGGGGAGAGAGGCTTGTGGACAAGATATCAGAGGCCTCTTATTTCGAGCATGGCTGCCCTCCTCACCATTGAGGCCGCTGCCTACTCAACCCTCCTCCCGTAACCACTGCTAAGCCTTCGTCCATAGCATCTTTCAGGGAGATGGGACGAGGCATGCTTCTTGATCCTTTAATTGTTTCCACACTTGAAGAGAGGAGTTGAACGGGTTGGTGCTGGCCTTGACCCGAGTGGAAATCTCAAGATTTTCAGGAGAATATTTCCTAAACAGATTGATCTCAAGAATAAATTCAAGGAAATAGAAGAGATGCTTCCAAAAGACTCCTCAACAATAACAACAATCATGCGCCACCAAGTCAGTTCTGACCTACAGTGACTCTTTTCAGGGTTTTCCAGGTGGAGGAATACTCAGAAGCGGTTCACCATTCTCTTCTTCTGGGGGCTTCCTAGGACTGCGCAGCTTGCCCAAAGCCACCTAGGCTGGTTGTACTCATAGGAGCCACAGCAGGGAATCGAACTCCCAACCTTTGCCTCTACAGCCAGAGACCTAAACCACTGGGCTACGCAGCCAGCCTGCTCCTCAAAAGAGCTTGGAAAAACTACTTTCCTGGAGTACAACTCCAAACGCTCCTGGGGCAACTATAAGTCAATCAACCCTCTTTCTCGCTGCCCTACCTCACAAGGTTGCAGTGAAGGTTAAATATGCAGCCATGAGCGCAAGGGAGGAAAGGCAGGATGAAACCGATTCGTATACCGCTCTTTGATCTCATGGTATGCATGGTTAGAGTTCCCACAGGAGAAGTCTGGCGACAGGAAACTGTGAGTAAAGGACACTTTGGTCCCAAAGCAGAAATGTGAAAAGTAACTCCCCACCACCACCAGGCCAATATCTTCCAGAATCCTCTACAGTACCAGCCATGCTAGGGAATTCTGGGTGTGGTGTCCAGAAAGGCAACTTTTCACAGCTGTGGTCCTCAAACAAATTTATCTCTAAATATCAGAATTCCAAATGGTCTGGTCTTATTTCTGCAGTGCAATTGATAATCAGATATTCTTTGTTTCCCAAGCTTTACACAGTTTCCAAACGTAACAGTTTGAGTATTTCCCCTCTCTTTTGTTTCCTGTTACCTGTGTTTTCTAACAAGACCATAAAGAATAGGAAGCCAGCTTCATGTGGCTGCAGACACACGGGGAGAGTCTCTACAAGTGATGCTTTGCCCGTAGAGTCAATGCGCATGGGCAGCAGGAAAACACAGCATTAAATCTTACTGTGAGCATTACTCAGGATTACTCCCGGGGGTGGAGGCAGCATTTTAGCAAATGTTCATGCCCACCCACGACTGAGAAAGGGAGACACAAATTAATGGAAGGAGAGGCATGCTGAAGAAAACGGCACAGATTCCAGATTTAATTTGGAATTAGTTTTACAGGAAACCTCCTGTAAATTGAGTCCAATGCGGAATATTTTAAAGGATCGGCGAGGTTGAGCTTCTACAAGAGTAAATAATGATTTTCAAATATCTGGAGGGCTATCCTGCTAAAAACAGCTGAATTTGTTATCTGCTGTCTTAGAGAGAAGCACAAGAACCAGTAGGTAGAAACTGCACCAAAGTAGATGCTGATGTCACACTAGAAAATATCTCCTAAATGTAAAGAGCTGTTTGGCAGTAGAGAGGAAAGGAGGAGATGATGATGATTTGCATTTGTGTCCTGCCTTTCCTTGAGTGAGCTGAAGGTGGCACACCTGATTCTCCTCCACCTACTTGCACAACAAGCTTGCGAGGTGGGTGCAGATGTGAGACTGTGACTGGGCAAAGGTCTCCCAATAGGATTCATGGCTGAGTGAGGATTTGCACCTGGGGTTCCTGAGCTACAATCCAACACTGGCTCTCCCGGTGGGGTGGGCCAGATAACCTCCAAAACTCTGTGACGGCAAAGGGAATTCAGTGCAGTGAGAACACAAGGCACCAGAATAGATGAGAAGGGCAGAACTAGAGGGAAAATCTCATCTCTCCTACAGGACAGAGAAAAGAGTTTGATGAACAGAAAGCATGGGGCTGTTCAACGCATGGACCATGGCCCAGCAGAAGGCAGGCAAGCAAGAAACTAGGAAACAGAGACAAGAAGAACTCAACAGCTTTGCCTCTGAGTCTGGCACAAATGCCACGCTGGGCACAGGAAAGGTTGCCGTCCGGTGTGGAGAAGAAACCTGCAGGAGAATATGCACTGAATTTCCCTTCCACACCGTCTCTTTCATGACTGCAACATCCATACTAACCTTGGCACCTTGCAATGGTGGCTTATGCCCAGCTGGGCTGGTGAGGCAGAGGCAGAACCAGAGGCTGAAAACACAACTGTTTTGGACTCACGAAATTTGGGAAGTATAATCCATGCCTGTAGGCTCCAGGCAGAGCCAATGACATGTCCTTTGCTACCCAACTTTTTTTTCCTTGCAAATTCTGAATCCTGTACTCCACTCCCGGTTGGGAGATGTGCCAGGAGGTGCCCCGATGCCCCTAAAGTAAGGCCGCCTGGGCACAGGTTTTGCACAAACAAGTGACATGCTTTCAACAAGGCAACAAGGCAAAAGGTAGCTATGGCCTTTGCCCATTCACCCAGCTGAGTAGCAGTTGCTTATGAAGAGCAATGAAGAAGCAAAAATTCACTCCAACTGGGAGATTCCAAAGATGTTGAATTTGTCTTCTTCCTTCCAATCTGTTCTGGCAGCGATGGAGTGAGATGGGGAGGGAGCCAAGATGGCAGATGCCACAGATCTTTTCCTCTCTGCCTACCCAACTGCAGGAGCGCGGGGGGGGGGGGGGGAGGAGCAGCTACCCTGTCACAACTTAGAAACACCAACTTTCAAGGAATTGTGGATCTAGAAGAGACCAAACAACACCATCGTATCTAAAGAGTGCCCGCTGTAAAGCAGGCAAAGCCCAGCGATGAGCAAGCATTAATCCAGTTTGCCTTTCCTCTCTGAAGTGAGGAAAGTGTGTTTCTTGCAATGCAGTACAGTAGCAGACACATACTGTATACCCTTTGCAATTTGGAAAAATTTGTTCTTTCTTTCTTTCTTTCTTTCTTTCTTTCTTTCTTTCTTTCTTCATTTATTTATTTAAATTTTGGATTGCAAACACCCCGGGATTTGCCTGTCAACTAGCTTGGGGATTCTGGGCATTGGAGTCTCAAAAAGTGAATTTCCCGAACCCTTTGGCTCTTTTCTCTTCCTCCCATAAGGCCTGTCCCTCTGTGGTGAAGAGGAGCTGGGGCCGATGCCTGCAGCTGCAGTTGCATGCAAGGGGCAGACCTTCTACTCCCTTAGCTCCCCCTTGCATTCCTTCACTCTTTCCGTGCTGTCCAGTCTTTTCTAAGGCTCAGAAGTTTAAATGCAACAAGCTGTTATTGCTCTTTTATAAGCCATAACCAAAGAAGAGGAAATGCCAAAAGTCAAAATCCGAGCAAAATCAGAAACCATCCCATCCAAATCGGAGCTGGAGATCCGATGGTTCTTTGGGTATTCTAGATTCTGGTTGCCATCAGCCTGCCAGAATGACCAGCAGAGTGGGGAGGATAGAACTAGTTTAGCAGCTTCTGAATTGTCCCCACTCTCTTGCCTCTCAACCAAACCACCTATTCCCATCGCTGTAGCCTCCAGACGCTTTGATCTGCTATTGCCACCAACCATGGCAATACTGGCCATGTGGCTGATAGGAGACGTAGTCCAAAATATCACCATTGGAAAGCCAGATTTTAACTTGCCAAACCTTCCTATGTCTTAATCTGTTCTGGTGTGGTGGTTTGTCCTCCCCAATCTATTCGTATTATCTTCCCAGATCCCCTCACACTCTTGCCTGTCAGCTGGAGTGTGAAACTCTGGAGCTAAGATCACCTCTCTTCTCTACATTCCTTCATATCAGCACATTGCTCAAGCACATGCACACAAAATTGACTCACATCAGGCATTTACTAGCCCCAGGGACAGCTTCTATCATAGCACCCAGAACAGCAGAGATGCTCTGCATTCAGATTTCTCTAGCCTTTTCCCTCTGCCCCGGACACTTCCAGAATAGCATCAAGGTGACAACCTTTCCCAGGTGGAGCAAGAAATTTGAAGCCTGCATGCTCAGGCGCTCAGAGACCTGAGGCATCGACTTTTAGGATACCATTTTCAGAAATCACCATAAGCCTCAATGAACACAACGTGCTGCAATTCAGCAACCCCTGGAGGGCTGCACTTTGTCTACCCAGGATGAGCAGAACTGCACTGAGAGGTGTATTCACACTGTAGAGGGAAGCAAACCCTTTCCACACTGGGAGACAGCTGGGAACAAGCCCACTTAAGATACACAATCTTCAGATCCCCCATTGCCATATACCCCATTGCTGGGGCCCTCTCTCCCGACACCTACTCTTCCAGGGATGGGCACAACGTGACCTGAGTGCCTTGGAGCTGGGCTTCCCCGAGAGGGCGCTGGGCACAAGTATGCCCATTGCTGGTGAGGTATGAGAGCTTGGTCTCTCTAGTCCTGCTGCTGAAACCACTGCTGGTACTGTTGGCGCCCACATCTTCCTCCTCCTCCTCTTCCCCCTCCTCCTCCTCCTCTCTGGGCACTGCAGCGATGGGGGTGCTCTCCTTGTCTGACGGGACCTGGGGGCTGAAGGCACAGGGCTGCCGGTGCAGGTCCTTCGAAATGGCATGCAGGCGCCGGTCGGCGCTCCGAGGGCAACACAGCAGTTTCTTGAAGGCGCACCTGAAGTCGGGGCTGCGGCAGTAGATGATGGGGTTGAAGGCTGAGTTCACGTAGCCCAGCCAGTTGAAGAAGCGGAAGAGCTGGTCAGGGACAAGAGAGCGGGCAAAAACGTTGATGATGTTGGCCACGAAAAACGGTAGCCAACAGAGGGTGAAGATGCCCATGATGATGCCCAGGGTCTTGAGGGCCTTGTGTTCCTTGATGGCCACCAGCAAACGGGAAGGCCTCCTCCTCCGACACCCCTTGGAGGCCTCTTGGAGGAACCTCCCTTTGTCCTTCTCGATGACGTGGAGCTGCCGGCTGGCCACGGCAAAGACCCGGGCGTAAACGAAGATCATGACCAAAAGCGGGACGTAGAAGGAAATGATGGAGGAGAGGATGGCATAGGGCATGTTGGTGACAAAGTCGCAGCACTGGGGGTCCTGGTAGCACCGCAGGGCTTCCTCGTCCGCCCCATCCCGCCACCAGTGGTTCATGATGGGCAGGAAGGAGATGAAGGCGGCCACGGCCCACACCAAACACACCACCCCTCGGGCCCGGCCCTTGGTCACCAGCACCTCGTACTGCAGCGGGGCCGTGATGGCCAGGTAGCGGTCCACCGCAATGGCACACAAGGTCTCGATGCTGGCCGTCACGCACAGCACGTCGAGGGAGGTCCACAGCTCGCAGACGGTGGTGCCGTAGGGCCAGCGGCCGCTCAGCACCAGCGTGGCCCCCGGAGGCACCACCAGCAAGCCCATGATGAGGTCGGCGCAGGCCAGCGAGGTGATGAAGACGTTGGTCATGGTCTGGAGGCGCGGCGTCTTGGCGATGGCCACGATGACCAGCAGGTTGCCCCCCACCGTCACCAGCACGGCCAGGCAGAGGGCGGCCCCCAGCGCCCCCTGCCGGCCGAGGTTGCCCACCGCCCACGAGCAATCGCTGCCGTTGCCGACGGGCGCCGCCGGGTCCTCGGCTTCGCCCCACCACGTCCCGTTCGGCGGCCAAGGGGGAGCCATGGCGGCAGCCCCGACGGGGCGGACGGGAACGAGCCTCTCCGCCTCCCCTGGCTCCCTCTCGCCGGGGCTTCTTCCGACGGCTCTACGCCGCAGGGGGAGCCCGCCGCCAGGATCGCGCCTCCGGGCACGCCGGACTCGGAGCAAGGCAGCCCATGCTCCGCGGAAGACTGGATCCGCCGAGGCGGGGACGGCGGCGAAGCCCCGGCGAGCGACGCCCTCCCCTTCGGTGGGCATTGCCTAGAGGAGGAGCCCTTAAAGGCGCAGGGAGCCCCGGCCGGAGGCAGGCAGGCAGGCAGGCGGGGAGGGAGGGAGGTGGGCGGGCGCCCCGCCCCGGCTCTTCGGCTACCCGGTCCCGAACCGACGGTACCCAAGGAAGGAGGCTGGCAGGGACGGCGCCGGCGTCGGGGAAGCTGCTCTCCGAACCCGCCCCGCCGGAGAGATCTGCCCTGCTTCCAAACTCCACGTGTCCTTTGGACGCCCCGGCGTCCAGCCACACCGCAGCCACCGTGCCTGTGCCTTCCCCCTCTGGCAGCTCCCCTTCCAGCCCTCCAAGAAGAGGAGCCGCTCAGCCCTCCAGATGGGGCGTAAGGGCAAAGCCCGCCATCCCCCTAGGGCTGGCAAGACGGGTGGCCGGCTGGAGGGCTTTCAGGGGACTCGCTGGCAGGACCGGGAAAAGCTCCTGTTTTAGGCTGCAAGTGCCAGAATCCAATTCCCATTCCTCTCCCCCTCCCAAAAAAAGTACCAGTTGTTTTCTAAAAAAAGGAGGTTTTTGCCAAGATCAAGTGGAGCATCATCTGTTCTTGCCTATATCTTTCCTGATGCAACGTTTTACCTTGTTGCCCTTTCTTTTAAAGCTTGTGGACATCTAGGAGGGGAAATTTGAAAGGAGGAGGTACAAACAGGGGACGATCCTGCAGTCGAAAAGCTGCCAGAAGGCAATTCCCTTTGGATGGTGTCTTTGAAGGGCTCCCCAGTCCTGCTCTCCTTGAAAGTGATGGTGCGGTGAGAAAGGCCATCAGGGATCCTGAAAGCGCCCACCAACCCTTAGCAGCATTTGGACGGAAGAGGGCTTGAGTAAATTCTAAGCAAATGGAGTTAAAGGCACTGACATTTTCTAACATAGCTCTTTTGTTGATGAAGAATGACTTTCAGGTCAGGAACAAAATATATTTGCAAGGAGTGATCATCAACACCCATCAATCTGCTCCTGGTCTAGTGCTGGATTTGTTGTCTTCATAGGTCACCAGTGCAAATCAGTAAAAACAGAAATATTCAAAGCTGCCTTCAACAACAGATTCTCCAGGATGCTATTTTCTTTTCTTTTCGTGTGAATTTTCGACTTTTATAGTTGCGTATCACCATATTGTTCGAATGTGTGTTGCTATCTGGGGTCTTGTGAGATTTTAAGTTTTAACCTGTAAATCTGCCAGAGTAGTCCCTGCACTAATGGAATGGTATATCAAACAATCAATTAAACAAACATTTCCATCTAAGAGCCAATATAGAGAAGGGGAAAAGAGAGAGGGAGCGCATGAATTGAAAAATGCTGCTTAGTCCACTCTCTTCATAAAGCTCCATGATTTGCATGTTTGTAGATGGATGAGAGAGAGTTCCGACTTTTTGGGAAAGCTTTGGGGTTCATCGGGACTGGGGTCTGTTTCCAGCATCAAAACTCTCACCCCAAGAAACCAGAAATAGATGAAGGTTGCAATCCTAGACATATTTATATTAGGAAATTACCCAAAGCCAACCATTTACGTTCAGGGAAACGCGGCTTTGTGTGATGGGTCAGTTGTACTGTGGAGATGGAAGCTGATTCTGACAGCTAATTCTTTCTTCATGCACAACTTGGGGGAAGTTCATTTTTGGACTACAGTTCCCAGAATCCTCTATTTTGGAAAAAAAAAATTTCCCCAAGGTTTGGCTTTCTGTTACCCATACAAATGGATATGTCATCCTGCCCCGCCTCCTCCTGGTGCTGCCTCTGAGTGGGCACCTGCTAGAGGAGGCAGGGCTGAGAAGAGTCAAATACCTCTTCGGCTGGTAGATGAACCAACACGTACCGATTAACCAGTGGTTTGTGTCCATCTCTGCTTGCTGTATAAATCTGCCTGTGTCTCATTCATACACCATATTTTTAAATGGTGAGACACATCTATTAAGTGGACATCTAAAAGGGATTAAGAGATGAAGTGACCCTCAGAAAGAAACTTTAAGAATAACCAATTGTTGCATTGTATCTCACTGTTGAGGGACGTGGTGGCGCTGCGGGCTAAACCGCAGAAGCCTGTGCTGCAGGGTCAGAAGACCAAGCAGTCGTAAGATCGAATCCACGTGACGGAGTGAGCGCCCGTTGCTTGTCCCAGCTCCCGCCAACCTAGCAGTTTGAAAGCATGCAAATGCAAGTAGATAAATAGGGACCATCTCAGTGGGAAGGTAACAGCGTTCCGTGTCTAAGTCGCACTGGCCATGTGACCATGGAAGATTTTCTTCAGACAAAACGCTGGCTCTATGGCTTGGAAACGGGGATGAGTACCGCCCCCAGAGTCGAACACAACTGGACTAAATGTCAAGGGGAAGCTTTACCTTTAACTTTTTCTCACTGTTGATCCATGCCTATAGGTTGTTACTGTAACTCACCTGAAGGGAATCTGGCATCAGAAATGTATATTTTTGTGTCTGTCAGAGGGAATGTCCAGAAACATTAAGCCTAATCAAATTATGTACTAGGCACAAGGAAAGAGCAACCAATGAGAAAGAATCTATGCCAATAAACTTTTAGATTTACTTCCTATGATAGAGGAAAATGCATATATTGCCCTGTGGGGTCTCTGTGATTTGTAATTTCTCCTTGAAGATTGTAGTGGACATATGTATGTCTTGTGTGTGTGTGATGACAGCTTTTTAGTTCCACACAACCAGGCAAGGGAATTGTTGCCTGATACTGCAAGAAAAAACTGTGAGAAGCAAGCACGATGGATCTTTTTTGTTATGCTGAGCTATTTTTCACATGATGTCATTTGTTACTTGAAAGGAGCCTGGGATATTTTTTTCCCCCTGTGATAACATGGCTTTTTCTCTCCCTGAGATAATCTGTCAAAACTTTTCTGGGCAGTAAAGTCTGCTTCTGCATGCAGAGCGTTGGGAAAGAGGTGCTGGTCCTTAGTTTTAAGGGTCAAAATCTTGTGGATGCAAAACACGGTCCCCACCTTGTGAGGGTCACAGAATTTTCTCTCCCTTTCTCAAATGTTCTAAAGTCTTCCCCTGCCTCTGCTCAGCTCCTCAGATGCAATGTGATCATTTTCTAGTTTCAGGGAAAAGTCCTTTCAATCCAACTTAGCTATTCGGTTTTGAGTATGAATAAAGTTCTTTCTTTTCTAAACCCAATCCCTTTAGCTTGGAGTTCTTTTTCATCATGGAATGGGCTGTTCTAATCTGAAAGGGTGGGGAACACAGTTGATTTGTATTTTGCTTTATGTATTTTATGTTTATGTTGTAGTTTAAAATTTAATTAAAAATAAAAAAATAATCTGAAAGGGCTTTGCTTTTTAAGCATATCAACTGAAAGACCATTAGGGGAGTTGTGCTTTATACATGAATTTGACTCAAGTCCGGGAGGTAGTGGAAGACAGGAGGGCCTGGTGTGCTCTGGTCCATGGGGTCACAAAGAGTCGGACACGACTAAACGACTAAACAACAACAACAACAAAGCATCCTGTTTATAGATAACAATTCTCCGCCTCAAGGTGTCTTTTATGTGAATGGCTATCCGTCCAACAGGGCTGCAGTCCAAACATCCTCGTACCTGAACTTATCTAAGCAGAATTGAAGCTTGGTACTCTCATGTAGGTTAACCATAGCTTGGAAAAAGTTACTTTTTTGGATCACAACTCCCAGAATTCCATGGCTACCATAACACTGGCAATATTAAGTAGCGGGTTGTGGAAGATGTGATTCAGAAAAATAACCTCCAATGTCTCAAAACTAAAGACTACAATTGAAGGCTGCTTTAATTTGGTATGAACTTATCTTACGGAATTCACTTCTAAATTTTAAGCTTCGCAGAGTTCAACAGGACCAACTCACAAGAAAGTACACATTGGATTACAGTTTTAGTGACATTTAACTATCACAAATGTCTCTGTTTGTAAAGATGAACAAACAGAGAATATTGAAAATATTTTCCATAGCATATTTTGAGCAGAGTTAGCAAATCAAAGAAACAGGCCAACATTGTCAAAATGAAAAAGAGAGGAAAAGCAGCAACTTGGGAATTTGAAAGGCATTTTTTTTCATAATTATTTTAAGGAACATGAGAAAGAATTGGTGTTCATCGTTCTAGAAGAGCTGTGAGTGGTATGGAGTCATGTGACTCAATAAACTCTTAGAGCATGTTGTCATGTGACATAGGGTCAAACTGATGAAGAGTCTGAGAATTCTTTGGCCCAGCAATTACCTTTTCAAAACCAAAAAGCAGGAGAAGGAGGTTGAGTTCAGGAATAGAGATGGACACAAACTAGGAAAACGGGAGTCCATTATGGTTCGTGGTTCATCCTTATTCACAAACCACAAACTGTCATGAACTTTCTGACGGCATGAACGATTTCATGGTTTGTGCAATTCAAGACTTCCTGGAATGGTAGAATGGCCCCTGCTTGAGTTAGAGATGCCAAACTCACAGCAAGTCTTCAGCTGAATCCCTTATCCACTGCCTCCAAATTTGGCAAAGATTGGATCTGGGACATCCGAGTTATAGCCCCACCACTACCAAAGCAAGTCCCCTCCCAGAAAAGTGCTCTTTAGGCAGCTGATAATAGTTCAACATTTCGTTTCATTCTGGACAAGCGCATTTCCCTGAAGTGAACTGAAATGAAGTACGAAATGTCCCAATTTGTGGGGGCTTTTTGATTTGTGGTTCATTTCATGCCCATTTCTATTCAGGAGCTGAGGATGATGGGAGAGAGAATGTTTAGTCTTTTCCTCCCTTTTATTTATCAGCTGAAAGTGCACTCCACAGCTATTTTTCTTTCTACAGGGATAAATATTTTTTATTTATTCAAAAAATATTTGTACCCCACCAGAGAGTTCCAGAAAAACATCTACTTCTGCTTCATTGACTGTGCAAAAGCCTTTGACTGTGCGGACCACAGCTAACTATGGCAAGTCCTTAAAGAAATGGGAGTGCCTGACCACCTTATCCATCTCCTGAGAAACCT